AGAGAGAGAGAGAGAGAGAGAGAGAGAGAGAGAAGAGAGAGAGAGAGAGAGACCTGTGCGGCATCTTTAGGTGAGTTGTTGTTGTTGTTATTGAGAGAGAGAGGGAGGGAGGGAGGGAGGGGAGGGGAGGGGAGGGAGGGGAGGGGAGGGGGGAGGGAGAGGAGGGAGAGGGAGGGGAGAGAGGAGGGGAGAGGGAGGAGGAGAGAGAGGAGGAGAAGGAGAGAAGAGAGGAGAGAGGAGAGAGGAGAGAGGAAAGAGAAGAAAGGAGAGGAGAGAGAGAGAGAGAGAGAAGAGAGAGAGAGAAAGAGAGGAGAGGAGAGTTTGCAGCGAGAGGGAGAGAGAGAGAGAGAGGAAGAGAGCGAGAGAGAGAGAGAGGAGAGAGAGAGATAGAGTAGAATAGAGAGTGTAGATAGAGTAGTTGATAGAGATAGATAGAGACATATAGACATAGAGATAGAGATAAAGATAGAGGTAGGAGATAGAGAGAGAATAAGAATAGAGATAGAATGAGACAGAGAGATAGAGGTAATAATAGGATAGAAGAGATAGAGATAATAGAGATAGAGATAGAGATTAGAAAATAATAAAGATAGAGATAGAGATAGAGGAGATAGAAATATATAGAGATAGAGAAAGAGTGAGACCGAGAGCGAGAGAGCGAGGACGACCCCGCGCCGCAATAAACGCGAGGAGGCGGCATCGAGACGGCCAATAAGAGACAAAAACCCTCCGTCATATTGTCCCGATCCTCTTACCAAAGCCATCCGATCCCCTTGCGAGTCCCGGAGCTCATTATAAGTGATCCTCTGTTGTCTCCGGGGCGGCGGGAGGAGGATCAGGTGTGCCTTGTCGATACCCTTATACTGATGGCGCGTTCGCTGTGATAATCGGGAATGAAATCTGAAGTGGGAATTGAGTGGCAGGTTTCAGCGTTCTCGGGAATGGGAATGTAATGTCTTATTTTTTCCGCCTTGTAAGCGTGTGGTTTTGCGTGCTTATATATGTATTATTATTATTATTATTATTATTATTGTTTATTTATTTATTTATTTTTTTTTATGCATTTACGTCTGTGTGGCTGTATGTTATATATATTTTTTGGTATTAATTTTTTTTCTTAGGTGTATATACATATATGTATATATGTTTTTTAGGTGTGTATACTTGTATATGTTTTAACATGTGTATACTTGTGTGTATATATTTTTTGTGTATCATACACACATACATACAAAACTAAGAAAGTGAAAGTGAAATGATAAGAGAAGAATAAAAATGTAAGCCAAGAAAAACACTTAAAGAAGAAACAAAATCAAAAAAGAAGAAAAAAGAAACAGAAAAATACGAGAAAAATAAGAAAGATGATAAGAAAAATAAAGAACACAAAAAAGAAGACGAAGAAAAGACAAAATAAGAAGAAAAGAAAGAGAAAGACAAAAGAACGACAACAGAAAAGAAAATAAGAAAGAGAAAGAAAAAAGAAACGACAAAGAAAGAAAGAAAAAAAGAAAACAAAAGAAAGAATAAAAAAAAAAAAAAAAATCACCGATCAGTCGCACAATCTCCGAGATGAGGCGACGAGGACGTGAGCGGCAGAGCCAAGACGACCGAGCATCTTCTCAGCCTCCTTAAGACGTGTTGAGACAAAGGCAGCGAGGCGGCGATCACGGCCTCGGCGAGTGTACTAACGACCGCGCCATCTGCTGGAGGGGAAGGGAGGGGAAGGGGGGAGGAGGGGAAGAGGGGGGAGGGGAAGAGGGGGAGGAGTGGAGGGAGGTGAAGAGGGAGGAGGAGGGGAAGGGAGGGGAAGGGAGGGGAGGAGGGGGAGGAGGGGTGGAGGGGGAGGAGGGTGGAGGGAGGGGGGAGAATGGAGGGGGAGGGAAGGGGGAAGGACCAAGAAGGTGGGGAGATGGAGGGGGGTGAGAGGTGGAAGAAGGAGGAGGAGAAGTGAGGGGATGAGGGGAAGGGAAGGGACTGGAGAGAAGAGGGGAAGAGGTGGAGAGGTGGGGTGAAGAGGGAGGAGGAGAAGTGAAGGGGAGAGGGAGGAGGGGGAGAGGGGAAAGGAGAGTGGCGAAAGGAAAGGGACTGGAGGAAGAAGAGAAGTGGAGGGGGAGAGGGGAAAGATAAAGGACTGGAGGGAAGAGGAGAGGAGAGGAAGAGGGAAAAGAGGGGCTTGGAGAGGCGGTGAGGGGAAGAGGAAGAAGAAAAAAGGGGAGAGGTAGGGCTTGAAGAGGCGGTGAGAGGAGGAGGGAAGAGGGGAAGGAAGGGGGAAGAGCGGAAGGATAGGAAGGGAAGAGAGGAGAGTGGTGGAAGGGGAGAGAAGAATATGGACAGTAAGCTCCCCTCTCCCTCTCCAGCCCTCTTCCTCTCCCAACTCCTACCAACTCCCTCCTATCCCCCCCTCCCTACAACCCTCCTCCTCTCCCCAACCCCCTCAGTACACTCCACAGTCCCCTCTCCTCTCCTCACCCCCCCCCCTCGGTTAGACCACCTCACCCTC